CTAGGTTTTTTCTTGCAATCTTCTCCATCACCTTGCATGGTATACAAGTTAAGGACACTGGCCTGTAGTTCAGTGCCTCTTGTCTGTCACCCTTTTTAAATATTGGTACTACATTTGCCGTCTTCCATATTTCTGGTAGGTCTCCCGTTTCCAGTGACCTACTATACACTATGGAGAGTGGCAAGCAAAGTGCTTCTGCACACTCTTTCAATACCCATGCTGAGATTCCATCCGGCCCAACAGCTTTTCTCACATCCAGCTCCAATAGGTGCTTCCTGACCTCATCTCTTGTAATTTCGAACCTTTCCAAGGTCACCTGATTTGCTGCCACCTCTCCTAGCGCCGTGACTTCTCCCTGTTCTATTGTAAAGACCTCCTGGAACCTTTTGTTGAGTTCTTCACACACCTCTTTGTCATTCTCTGTGTACCTGTCCTCGCCCACCCTAAGTTTCATCACCTGTTCCTTCACTGTTGTCTTCCTCCTGATGTGACTGTGTAGTAGCTTTGGTTCAGTCTTGGCTTTATTAGCTATATCATTTTCATACCTTTTCTCAGCTGCTCTTCTCACACTAACATACTCGTTCCTGGTTCTCTGGTATCTCTCTCTACTTTCTGGTGTTCTGTTATTACGGAAGTTCCTCCATGCCTTTTTGTTCAGCTCCTTTGCTTTCATACATTCCCTATTAAACCACGGATTCTTCCTTTGCTTCTCTGTTTTTTCCTGTTGGACTGGGACAAACCTGCTTATAGCCTCCTGACATTTTTGGGTGACATAGTCCATCATGTCTTGTACAGACTTGGTTCCGAGTTCTGTGTCCCAATGTATATCCCATAGGAATTTATTCATCTCCTCATAGTTTCCCTTTCGGTACGCCAGCCCTTTGTTTCCCAGTTCTTTTTTGGGGGTGATAATTCCTAGCTCAACCAGGTACTCAAGGCTCAATACACTATGATCACTCATTCCCAAGGGGGCTTCCAACTTAACTTCCCTTATATCCGACTCATTTAGGGTAAATATCAGATCAAGCAAGGCTGGTTCATCCCCTCCTCTCGTTCTTGTCGGTCCCTTGGCGTGTTGACTTAGAAAGTTTCTTGTTGCCACATCCAGCAGCTTAGCTCTCCATGTGTCTGGGCCTCCATGTGGGTCTCTGTTCCCCCAATCTATCTTTCCATGGTTGAAGTCTCCCATGATTAGTAGCCTGAATCCGTTCCTGCTAGCCACAGAAGCTGCTCTCTCTGTTATATTGATGGTGGCCAAGTTGTTTCTATCATATTCCTGTCTGGGTCTTCTGTCATTCGGTGGGGGGTTATATATGACTACAACTATAATTTTCTGTCCTCCAGTTGCTATGGTGCCTGATATGTAGTCACTGAAATCTTCACAGTTCTGAATTACCATCTCTTCGAATCTCTAACCTTCTCTTAGTAGCAAAGCTACACCACCTCCTCCTCTCCCTTCTCTCTCTTTCCTCACTACATAGTAGCCCTGTGGAAGCACTGCGTTTGTTATGGTGTTTGTTAGCTTTGTTTCTGTGAGTGCTATTATGTCTGGGTTTTCTTCTAGTACCCATTCTCCGAGTTCACTTGTTTTATTTGTAATCCCATCTATGTTAGTGTACATTGCCTTTTAGCTCACTTTCTTCAGTTCATTTTCTTGTCCCTTTCTTGGCGAGCATTCTGCTGGTGTGGGAAGCTTTTCCGTGCGTGAGAAGATCTGTGAGGTGGTTTGCAGGGTCTCAGAGGAGTTTGGGGTGATGGGTGGGGGTTTCAGGGAAGGGGGTACAGGTAGGGTGTGGGTTAAGGAGATAGGGGGGACATGGAGGATACGGGGTGAGGGAAGAGGAGGGATAGGGAGTGTGTGTGTGTGTGTGTGTGTGTGTGTGTGTGTGTGTGTGTGTGTGTGTGTGTGTGTGTGTGTGTGTGTGTGTGTGTGTGTGTGTGTGTGTGTGTGTGTGTGTGTGTGTGTGTGTGTGTGTGTGTGTGTGTGTGTGTGTGTGTGTGTGTGTGTGTGTGTGTGTGTGTGTGTGTGTGTGTGTGTGTGTGTGAGGGGTGGGTGTATGAGTGAGTGAGGTTGGGTGTGTGTATACTCACCTAGTTGTGATTGCGGGGGTTGAGTTCTGGCTCTTTGGTCCCGCCTCTCAACCGACAGTCAACTGATGTACAGGTTCCTGAGCTTACTGGGCTCTATCACATCTACATTTGAAACTGTGTATGGAGTCAGCCTCCACCACACTACTGCCTAATGTATTCCACTTGTTAACTACTCTGACACTGAAAAAGTTCTTTCTAACGTCTCCATGACTCATTTGGGTACTCACTTCCCACCTGTGTCCCCTAGCGCGTGTGCCTCTTGTGTTAAATAGCCTGTCTTTATCTACCCTATCAATTCCTTTGAGAATCTTGTATGTGCTGATCATGTCCCCTCTAATTCTTGTGTATCCCAGTGATGTAAGGTTTAATTCCCGTAGTCCCTCCTCGTAGCTTCTCTTGATTACCTAAACCTGGTCGTCATGTACTCTGATGTATGAGGTTCACCAGAGTTCCGGCTTGCTGTAACCTTCAGTCCAACTCCCTGAACCTAAAGCGTTTGTTCGCCAAGATATCACGACACGAGGACGTTGTACCTTAATACCAGCAAGTTCACTAGAGACTTAATAAAGGTCGCCGCCACCCCCTGACTTCAAATCTTTACTGATTAATTCCTCTAACTGACGGTGGAGCAGGAAACCGTCAATTAGTCCTAGATCCCCGAATGTGGATCCCCAATTGTTGGAAAGGAGGGATGAGATTAACTTTAAATGTGAGGATTAACTCAACCAAAGGGTTTATATTGAAAATAGAATATAGGATGCTTGTACAGTTCACAGGAGTCTATACGGTAAACAAGGGAGTGAATAAACCTTACCGAAATAAAAGAACATAACATATATGCTGGGGGAAATTCCACTAAACACCATAAATTTTAAACAAGATTTATTAAAACATAAGTAATTGTCATGAAACAAATGAACACTTCATACTGAATTTATTTCTAACTGAAATTCTTCCTAAAATAGAGGCAGTGATTAATGAATTTAACAGGAACAGTACCAACTCGTAAGCACTTTACCGCGACACTGACCAACACTGCTCTCTCCAGCGGAGAGGCTCACCTGGGCTTTGTTGTCAAATTACTATTCAAAGATGATTAATAAAACTTAATTATGCACTGGTCACTGAAAGTGACCTAATCATTATTCATAACAACTGGAAAATTACCTAGATACTTGAGCAGGCGATGAGTCACAATAACGTGGCTGAAGTAGTTTGACCTGACCACACACTAGAAGGTGATGGGACGACGACGTTTCGGTCCGTCCTGAACCATTCTCAACTCAATTGGACCATTCTCACAATCGACTTGAGAATGGTCCAGGACGGACCGAAACGTCGTCGTCCCTTCACCTTCTAGTACCTAGATACTTGAGCACCGGGTTGATTAATTAATCGAATATTGCATATTTACATAATTTACATTAATTAACAATTTAAGATCATTGGTAATATTTCCAGCTCGTGGATGGTGTCATCCTAATATTCGTCTGTACTTGACGACGAGTGAACTCTTTACCTTGAATTGTCGTTAAATTAACATAGTTACTTATCAAAAGACGTCATTAATTCCCATTACTTTAATAACTGAATTCTTCTAAACTGATGAATTTAAGCACAAGGTGGACGCCGGCCATCTTGTCTAACCTCTGCCACTAATCCCTTGGACCATGGAGGATAACTCTTCCTGTCTTACCTGGTCAAAAGTTAACACTTGAGTTGCTACTTGTTGTGCGGGCGCGCACACGCGCGTCTATACTGGAGGATATTCCCCCTGTATTCTGCTGTTATTGTAGAACATCCATGGTCAGACCATCATCCATGGTCAGACCATCATCCATGGTCAGACCATCATCCATGGTCAGACCTTCGTCCATGGTCAGACTATCATCCATGGTCAGACCATCATCCATGGTCAGACCATCATCATGGTCAGACCATCATCCATGGTCAGACCATCATCCATGGTCAGACCTTCATCCATGGTCAGACCATCATCCATGGTCAGACCATCATCCATGGTCAGACCTTCATCCATGGTCAGACCATCATCCATGGTCAGACCATCATCCATGGTCAGACCTTCATCCATGGTCAGACCATCATCCATGGTCAGACCTTCATCCATGGTCAGACCATCATCCATGGTCAGACCATCATCAAGAAGTGCACTTGGTCGACCCCAGCCACCCTATGGCACTCCCCGTACAGTCACGTGTCACCCTGCAAAGTTTGGTCAGACTGGCCCCTAGCGTCTGGCTCCCAACCTCGAACAAAGAAGCAGACATTCTGTTATCGGAGCAGAATTGCAGATAGTCGAGCTAACCATGCAATGGTCTTGACGTTCTCTACGTTCTTACAGACAGAACGTTTTCCAGGTTCTTCCCAAGCACAGAGAGTAGCACTGTAAAGTGTAAATTAATTACTCTAATTTAACGTTAATTATGTTTTCATGTTCTCTTTACCTCTCATGTTCTCTCTTCTTTCATGTTCTCTTCCCATTGACCTTCTCTCCTCTTTTCTTTGACGTTCACTCTATCTTGACGTTCATTGTGGTTTGACATTTGATGTTTTCACTCGCTCTTATCATCCACTCTGAGCTTCCTTCAGTCAAACAAACACTCTTGCCCGTCAAACAAAGAAGCCAAACATTAAAGACCATAAAATCATCTGATATACTTCAGTAAAGCTTCACCTTAGGTAACTCCCTTCACCTTAGATTACTCCCAGACTCAGTCCCACCAGGCTCTCACAAGTGGTGTGCCAATCAGGCCGTTCTGATTGTACTATGGAAGCTTCAGGACGAGGCTTCATGATGCTGGGGTAAGCTTCAGGACGAGGCTTCATGATGCTGGGGTAAGCTACAGGACGGGGCTTCATGATGCTGGGGTAAACTTCAGGACGAGGCTTCATGATGCTGGGGTAAGCTTCAGGATGCTGGGGTAAGCTTCAGGACGAGGCTTCATGATGCTGTGGTAAGCTACAGGACGGGGCTTCATGATGCTGGGGTAAGCTTCAGGACGAGGCTTCATGATGCTGGGGTAAGCTTCAGGGCGGGACTTCATGATGCTGGGGTAAGCTTCAGGACGAGGCTTCATGATGCTGGGGTAAGCTTCAGTACGAGGCTTCATGATGCTGGGGTAAGCTTCAGGTCGGGACTTCATGATGCTGGGGTAAGCTTCAGGACGGGGCTTCACGATGCTGGGGTAAGCTTCAGGGCGGAGCTTCATGATGCTGGGGTAAGCTTCAGGGCGGAGCTTCATGATGCTGGGGTAAGCTTCAGGGCGGAGCTTCATGATGCTGGGGTAAGCTTCAGGACGAGGCTTCATGATGCTGGGGTAAGCTTCAGGACGAGGCTTCATGATGCTGGGAAAATCACTTGTTGTCTTCACAGCTGTGGAGAGCTGAAAACTTTCTCCTATTTTGATCAAGTCAATTCAGGCTATTGTGAATTATTTTGGCGAAGTTAATACCCAGTATTGTGAGTTATGGGAGTTGTAAAGTTGTTACCATGATGAAGTTTGAGGTGTGTTGGAGGCAGAGAACACTGGTGTTGCCAGGCCAGCCTCCGAGAGAGGTGTTTGGAACCCCAAAAGCCTCACCTTTCCCAAACATTCCAGTGAACGCGTATAGTGCGTTCATCTGAGTGGCTGCTACTGAACCCTTCGCTAAAACGATCCTACTACCACCAGCAATCACCATCCACCACTAACCTACATCGTCAACCACCACAAAGTAGTTTTAAGAGGTAGTTTCATGCCGTCAGTAGCCCCGGGTGAGTGTCGGGACACATGCTCCTTCCACTTGTGTACTCTTCTGCTCACTTAGGGAAGTAAAATATTCTATACATGGTACATGGTTCTATACATGATACATGGTTCTATACATGGTACATGGTTCTATACATGGTTCTATACATGGTACATGGTTATAGACATGGTACATGGTTCTAGACATATAATACATATTTCCAGACGATTGTTACATAAGGGGGAGTGAGAGGGAGAAGCAAGGTTAGCGTCTGTCAACCTCCGTCTCCCCCAGTACGAGAATAGTTAATATGAGAGCAGAGTTAAAATTACCTACCATAAGTGAGAGAATTTTGTCTATTAGCACAGTTTTCGGCGTGAAGGCATTGAGTAGATCTAGACAACACATGAAGTTTCAAGCTAAACGTTCTAATATGCTACACTCACCTGAGGTCTATAGAAGAAGAACGAAATCTGATTATGTATATTGGTTCTACAAGGTAGCCAACTCCATCAAAATATTAAATATGTACCCAACTCAACTAATGATTAATCAGCCAATTACTCCATGGGATAACTGGGATCTATCAGTTGATTTTGTAAATGCGCCCAAGAAAGATAGTGTGCACACTACATTATTAAAACAGTTAACACTGAAAAGCATCACTGAAAGTACTCAGAGTACTATGGGTAACGATGTGTATGGGGTAACGATGTGTATCAGTGCTATACCGACGGCTCTGTAGAAGAAGGTGGACGATGTACCGGATGTGCATGTAACATAATTGAACAATCTTCTCTCGTACATACAGCAATGAAGAGCGTCAATGACTGGGCAAGTACAACTCAAACCGAACTTGCAGGCATATACCTTGCCACTGAATTTTTAAAAGACAAAGGCAGTGGACTTATATACTGTGACTCGCAGAGTGCACTCCTGGCATTGAACGCACATAGTAGTGACTCCCAGAAAATACTCAGTGATATTCGAATGAATGTTTCAGCTGCCAAAGAAAACAGATTTGAGATTAAATTCCTATGGATACCATCACATGTTGGCATCTCAAGTCATGACTCTGTTGATATGCTTGCTAAGACAGCCTGCAGAAAACCAGTGGTAGAAATTGATATGGGTGTTTCATTATCAGTGACGAAGAGAATACTTAAACAAATATCTAATGAAAATCTCACCGACCTAACAAATTCACAAAGACCTAAAAGTTGTAGCATTAAATATTATGATAGATATCGTGAGGAGACATTCACATATGGGACTAATAGAACAAGAACCCGGCAATGTGATGTTATAGTGGCCAGAATACGCCTGGGATATAGACGTATCTGGCAGCTTTCTCAAAACCCAAATGTCGAGTACACAATGTGTCAACTTTGTGAAAGAGAAAACATGCACTCTCTTTAACATTATATTGTAGAATGTCCCATACTGACTGACTTTCGCCCTCCTGGGCTAAGGTATGCTGAACTCTGTAATTACTATATGAGTACTGGAACACTTGATGATATATTGGACTTGTATCCAAGATTGACCATGTAATATATCAATCATACAATGTATATATATGATGTAACTATATAACCTGAGCTTGTAAAAGCACCTTCATCACCTTCAGTGATTAAGTGCTTAATTGTACACTAGTTTCTTTATCAGCTATCTCACCCTGTCAGAGTATATCAGACAAATGTATGTGAATGCATGTGTGTGTATATATGTATGTATATGTGTGTGTGTATGTATATGTATGGGTATAAAGTATATATGGAAGCTGATCAGAATTACATTTCACCTTTGTGAATGTACATTAATGACACTATGTAAAAGACACATCGAACACTTTATGTAGGGCATACGTAAATCTGTGTATCTATGTATTTACGTATGTAGGTTAGCTTAGCACTTTAAAAGCACCGAATCACCTTCTGTGGTTGAGTGTTCAATAAACCCTTGAACTATATGTTTAACACTTCTCTAACCCTGTCCATGGAGGACAGAAGAAAATGTCTATATGCTGGTTAGCATTGTAAATATGTGACCACGTCTGTGGTAGAAAATAATAATAATAAAAAAAAAAGTACCACTGGTCTGGGAAGGACGGGTCAGGTTACCGTCTCCCACAGTACTGGAAGCCGGTGGCTTGTCAAAGGTCTCCTCCCCCATTTGCCCTCATAATCTTTTCAAGTTTAATTATGGAATTTAAAGTTGGCTGTTAAGGCTTCGGCGGGTAGGCAGTTCCATGGGTTTACAAACCTATGGGTGAAAAAGCATCTCCTGTACTCGTTCCTAACTAGAGCTATACGTGTACTCCTGACAGCACTTGAGTGAGTGCGTGTTCTTCAGACTTGCTGATACGACGTTGGCAGCATGTGGAGCTCTGCCGCTGTGAGCCAGATGAACTGCTGCAGCTCTCAGGATAGTGAATATTTCAAGCAGAGAAGATTTATGGGCCTGGACACACCTACACACACACACGCACGCACACACACACACACACACACACACACACACACACACACACACACACACACACACACACACACACACACACACACACACACACACACACACACACACACACACACACACACACACACACACACACACACACACACACACACACACACACACACACACACACACACACACACACACACACACACACACGAGACTGTACGGTACCGCACATGAGACTGCTATACAAACTTGAGAGGCAGGCAGGAGTAAGCGGAAAGGCCCTAGTATGGGTGAAGAACTACCTAACAGGAAGGAGCCAGAGGGTAATGGTAAGGGGCGAAAAGTCGGACTGGCGAACAGTAACAAGTGGAGTACCTCAAGGATCGGTGCTGGGACCAATCCTCTTTCTAATTTACGTAAATGATATGTTTACAGGAGTGGAGTCATACATGTCAATGTTTGCAGATGACGCAAAATTAATGAGAAGAGTTGTGACAGACGAGGATTGTAGGATCCTCCAAGAGGACTTAAACAGGCTGCAGAGATGGTCAGGGAAATGGCTACTGGAGTTTAACACCAGTAAATGTAAAGTTATGGAAATGGGATCAGGTGACAGGAGACCAAAGGGACAGTACACAATGAAGGGGAACAGCCTACCTGTAACGATTCGAGAAAGAGACCTGGGAGTGGATGTGACACCTAATCTAACTCCTGAGGCACATATAAATAGGATAACGACAGCAGCGTACTCTACACTGGCGAAAATTAGAACTTCATTCAGAAACCTAAACGAGGAAGCTTTTAGGGCACTTTACACTGCCTACGTGAGACCCGTCTTAGAGTATGCCGCGCCATCATGGAGCCCCCACCTGAAGAAACACATAAAGAAACTGGAGAAGGTTCAGAGGTTTGCGACGAGGCTTGTCCCAGAGTTACGAGGGATGGGATATGTAGAGCGGCTGAAGGAACTGAACCTAACGACACTAGAGAAAAGAAGGGAGAGAGGAGATATGATAGGGACATATAAAATACTCAGGGGAATTGACAAAGTGGAAATAGATGAAATGTTCACACGTAATAATAGCAGAACGAGGGGACATGGGTGGAAACTGGAAACTCAGATGAGTCACAGAGATGTTAGGAAGTTTTCTTTTAGCGTGAGAGTAGTAGAAAAATGGAATGCACTTGGGGAACAGGTTGTGGAAGCAAATACTATTCATACTTTTAAAACTAGGTATGATAGGGAAATGGGACAGGAGTCATTGCTGTAAACAACCTATAGCTAGAAAGGCGGGATCCAAGAGTCAATGCTCGATTCTGCAAGCACATATAGGTGAGTATAGGTGAGTACACACACACACACACACACACACACACACACACACACACACACACACACACACACACACACACACACACACACACACACACACACACACACACACACACACACACACACACACACACACACACACACACAGAGGAACTTCCGTAATAACAGAACACCAGAAAGTAGAGAGAGATACCAGAGAACCAGGAACGAGTATGTTAGTGTGAGAAGAGCAGCTGAGAAAAGGTATGAAAATGATATAGCCAATAAAGTCAAGACCGAATCAAAGCTACTACACAGTCACATCAGGAGGAAGACAACAGTGAAGGAACAGGTGATGAAACTTAGGGTGGGCGAGGACAGGTACACAGAGAATGACAAAGAGGTGTGTGAAGAACTCAACAAAAGGTTCCAGGAGGTCTTTACAATAGAACAGGGAGAAGTCACGGCGCTAGTAGAGGTGGCAGCAAACCAGGTGACCTTGGAAAGGTTCGAAATTACCAGAGATGAGGTCAAGAAGCACCTATTGGAGCTGGATGTGAGAAAAGCTGTTGGGCCGGATGGAATCTCACCATGGGTATTGAAAGAGTGTGCAGGAGCACTTTGCTTGCCACTCTCCATAGTGTATAGTAGGTCACTGGAAACGGGAGACCTACCAGAAATATGGAAGACTGCTAATGTAGTACCAATATTTAAAAAGGGTGACAGACAAGAGGCACTAAACTACAGGCCAGTGTCCTTAACTTGTATACCATGCAAGGTGATGGAGAAGATTGTGAGAAAAAACCTAGTAACACATCTGGAGAGAAGAGA